CTACTTTTAGATCATTTTAAATTACCACTCAGGCCAAAAGTGAAGCAATACTAAGAAACCAAAAACTACATAATGACAGACTCATGAGCTACCAGTTACACACAGAGACAGCAAGAAAATCAAACATACTTAGAGACAAGCAGGCACCTATTTAGTGTCTCTAGTGGTGTGGCACTGTAGGATAAGTATTGGACTGCAAACCACAAGGTCAGTGGCTCCAGTCCACCAGCATCTCTGCAGAAGAAAGACGAGGCTTTCTGCTTCCACAGAGATTTACAGCATAGGAAATCCTACATAGGTTAGCTAGGAGTGGAAATTAACTTGAGGGTAATTAACAACAGAGAATGAATGAGAAACAAAGATTTAAAAGGCTAAAACAAGACTATAAGGAGCTCGGATAGCTTAGTTGGGCTACTAACCTCAAGGTCAGCTAGTTCCAAACTACCAGTGGCTCCACAGAAGAAAAATGAGGCTTTCTGCTCCCATAAAGATTTACAGCCTTGGAAACCCTATACAGAGTCTCTATGAGTCAAACTGACTGCACCACACACCACCACCACCACCACCACCACTACCAAACCATTGTATAAACAAGTTAGAAAGCCTCTGAAGAGCAGTTACTTATAGAGGAGAGAGACAGAATATTTGAAATCTACCACCAACCCACTCCACTATTGTTTTCCTATTGGTCTGAAATGTTTTAGGTCTAGGTCAAGCAGGGGATTGGCAAGATTCTTTCTCATTCTAACCTTCTTCTAGTTTTAAGGGTGGTACACGGGAATTCTGGTAGCGTAGTGGTTACGAATCGGGCTGCAAATCTTAAGGTCAGCAGCTCGAAACTACCAGTTGTTCCAAGGGAGAAAGATGAGGCTTTCTGCTCCCGTAAAGACTTATAGCCTCAGAAACCCTATACAGGGTCACTATGAGTCAGAACCGAATCCAAGGCACATAATCACCACAGGGGAGTTCTAGTGTGGTGTAGGATAAGCACTTCACTGTTAACCACAAGGTACTTAACAACAAGAAGAATTGACAGCTAAAGAAGGAATTTTAAAAGTTCAGACCATTTTTAACCCCTAAGCACAAAGCTCTCAACGGATTTCACATCATTTTTCAGGTCATGCATAAACTTCTGAGTCAGATTACTCCTAAGAGCATTATAATTTCTCCATTGATCTTTTACAACACAAGAACAACAATACAACAAAGACAAAACTTTATTTTTAGACTTGTAAAATCCTGTGTTTATTTTTCTAAAACAGAAGAAGTCAAACAACTGAACCTGCTCTGTTTGGATTTTAGTTAACCTATATTCTTTCCTAATCCTGAGGCCCAACTTCTGCCAGAAGGAAATGAAGAAAAAGTGTTCCATGCCACGCTGGAAAAGTTAAAACACTGCCTCCCTCGGCCTTCTCCTCCACACAGCCGAGCCTCCTGCTGGTCACAGTTCACACTGCTGAAGTTTTATCATATGACACCTGCAGTATGGTGGATAGAGGCAAACACTGTCAAATGGCATTCGTGTCAAAACTGGTTTGAACTTCTGTGCATAATGTTTAAGCAAAAGTGCTTAACCACAAGTTCACTCTTACTTGCTCAACTGGCATTAAACACTTAAATAGAAATGAATGTAGTTCCCTATAAACAGTAAGCCCTTAAAAAACCTGTTTCAGCAATTTGATTTTTCAACAATTTGGTCTCCAGACAAGCCATATCTTTTAGTTGGAAAAACAAGAGACAGATTGAAAATATAGGAAAGCCCTTCCCACAATGTGAATGTGCAGAAATCTGGGTAAAAATATTAGTAAGTAGTTATTTCCATTCTCAAAAATGTCTCAGGTAAGTTTCTATCATTTTCTTCTCACTGAGCTGATCATCCATAATTTACAATGCTATTACCACCAGTAGAAATAAGATGTGCAAGTAATTCAGTCACTTAAATGATGATTTTACTCAGTAATTCACAAAACCAACCAACTCAAAATACGTATTATTTGTAGAGACAAAGTTTGCAATTTAACCATAATAATTAATAAAATGGAAATATAAACATTGGTCCAAACTCTATGGACAATACACACAATGATTCAACTTTTATGAACCAACCCTATGATATTGAAGGAATTCATGGGCTGTTCAGGGATGATGATCCAGGAGATTTAAGTTTGCAGCATGAGGCTGCTTTGCTTAACTTGGCATTTGACAAACTCTTCCCAGAATTCAAAACCCAGCTCAAATACACTATGGCCTTTTCATGTAAATTACACTGCTTCTGTATGTCTTCTATTCACTCCCTTCTTTGTGCTCACTCATCACCCTACAGAATTATTTACATATATCTCCTAACTCACTATATCCTGGAGAGTAGGGTCCACTCTTATTCATTTCTATACTGGTGTCCTGGTGTGGTGCTATAGGACAGACACTGGACTGCTAACCACAAAGTTAGCTGTTCAAGCCCACGAGCCATTCAAACCCACCACCTAAACAAGGTCACTCAGAGTTAGAACTGTCTCGATGGCACTTAATAACAACAACAAACAGATACTAAAGTGCTTGGGATATAATACCTCCACTGTTACCCAGTCAATGCTGACTCACGGCAACCCCAAGCGTTCCAGAGGAAAATTGTTCCACAGGATTTTCTTGACTGTAATCTTTGTGGAAGCAGATCACCAGAACTTTGCTCTGTGGAGCTACTGGGTGGATCTGAACCACCAACCTTTAGGTTAGTTGTTGTTAAGTGTCATCAAGTATCGATCCTGTATAGGGTTTCCAAGGAGCAGCTGGTGGGTTTGAACTGCCAACCGTATGGTTCGCAGTCCAATGCTAACCCACAGCACCACACCAGAAGCCAAGTTAGTGTTAGAGCACAAACCATCTGTGCCACCCAGGAGTCTTTGGAACACAGTAGACTATCAGATTTTGTTGAGCAGATATAAACTATCGGATGACTTTGCTATGACCTATGTAAAAAGAAAGTCAGAAGAAGTCATAGTACTTTACCTTTGGCCTGGGCAATATGGAAAGCTTCTCAATGGATATTCACCTTGGTCTTGAAAACTGAGGGAAATTCACTAGACAGAGACAGGCACTTACTGAATAGCCTATGCAAACGCAGCAAGGGAAAGACCACATGTATGTTGGAGGACAGCAAAGCACTCTGGGTACAATCGAAGTAAGCAGACTACGGGAGGGGGCACACAGGTTGAGTCAAGCTAGAAACAAAACTGGAAAGGTGAAGGGGATTATAAGCTAGTTTAAAGTTTCACTGACTACTCCAGGCTTTGAGAAGCCCTTGAAACCTTTTAATCCATCTAGGTAGTGACACGAAGACTCATCACTTGAGAGACTTTGGCCAAAAAGTTATGAAAAGTCTAGGCCTTCAAAGGATTTTCTCTACAGAGGCCTATTACAACTTTTATATCCTTGGTTACTGTCCCACCATCATTTTCATCATATGTTTTAATATATGCAGTTACTTTAAACGGGATTCAAGTGGCATCACAAACTACATATTTAATTATGTAAAGCAGCTTTGAGAAAAATCATATTGATTAAACCCAAAATGTTTCATTCATATAGTTATTGTTGTTAAACGCCATCTAGTCTGTTCTGACTCATAGCGACCCTGCATAGGGTTTCCGAGGAGCAGCTGGTGGGTTTGAACTGCCAACCTTATTGTGGTTTGCAGCTTAGTGCTGACCCTACAGCGTCACTCCAGGAGAAGCAAGTACTAATTTAAACACCTAATGAAACTGTTATGTTCTAACTTCTTGAAAAAAGTAGAGAAAGAGAAACTCTTTAAAATTAAAGACAGAAAAAAATATTTAAGATAAATATTCTGAATTCCTTCTACATCACTCTGCTGAAAAATCAGGATTGCAAGAAGGCAGCATCCCATCCCAGAGTCAGTAAGTTTACAACCTGAGGGCCCCACTTTTTTACCTGGAGGTGTCCTAAGGGAGTTTAAAAAGACTCAGAAACAGGACGACTCTATAGGTATGGCAAGTTCTAAGTGAACGGTCAACACAAATAACCGCCCCTTCATGTGCCTGCCCAAAGAAAAGTAACCCCGGCTTCTTGATGTTCGACTTTGCCAGGTTTTTGAAAAATGTAAGATAAGGTGATCTTTGTGAGCCGACTAGAAGGCACCATAAGGCGGAGTACAGATCACCGACAGACTCGGGTTTCACTCTTGCAGCTCGGCCCTGGACCAGAGAGAAGCATCGCCCGGTGCAGGGCAGGAAGCCAGAGCGCCCGCCTTCCCTGGGCGGCCGGGCTGGGCGGCAGACCGCGCGCCCGGCACCAAGGGAGGCGGGTACCTGGGTGCGCAGGGCGGCATGGAGAGAAGGGCTGCAACGCGAACGCGCAGAGGCGGCTGTCAGAGTGTGAGGCCAGCATCCTCCCCAAGCTCGGCAGAGAACTCAGGCCTCCGAGGCTTCTACGTGGCCCCGTTACCCACGGCGAGCGGGTAATGACGAGAGACAGAGGAGCGGTGCTTGGAGAGCGGAGGCGCGGCTGCGCCCGCAGAGTCCCTCAGGACGCGGTTCCCAGGGCGCAGCGCAGGGGCGCTGGCAGCCCTGGGCGCCGCCCCCGCTACCCCACCCCACCCCACCCCACCCCACCCCACCCACTGCTGCCAGCCCGAATGGCCCCCAACCCGGGGCTGTGACCCGGGCGGACCAAGATACAAGGAGATGAGGCAGCTTTGCCGGGTCCCTGGCTCAGCCGCCCCCGCGATCCCGGAGATAAAAGTTTGCAGCATGCGGCTCGTCTGCAGTGTCACATCCGCCGCGCCGCCTCCTGCAGCACCAGCGCTCAGAGACCGAACAAATAAATTTTAAAAAACAAAAAACAAAAGCTGTTAAAGCCGGTAGGCCACGAAGCCGGCCGCTCGGCCTCCCGTTCATGCAAGCAAGCGAGCCCAGCATCCTACGCCCCCGCCCGCCCCCGGCCGCACCTCCCCGCCCGGCCTGAGCCGGCGCCGCCGCACTGACCGATAACCTCCTGCAGCTCGTACGCGTCCCTGCAGATGGGCCAGCCGACTG